CTCATTGTTCTATTGTGTGTCTTGCTTGGGAGCTAACTATTATGGGATGTATGTGTTTGTGTATTGGCTTGGTGGGGGGTGTCTCCAGCAGCCCTCCTGATGGGACTGTCTGCTGGTGTGTGTCTCTTGTTACTGGGTGTGTATTGCCCTGCCCTGTGTGTATATATCTTGTATCTGTGTTAAACTAAAGCAGTCCTGGTTTAATACAAGACTGGTGTCATCTAGTTTTTGTATGGTCAGCGGTGGTGTCCGTGGATCTGTGTTCAGAAAGGGAAGCTGGAACCTAACGGAAATACCCTAGTGCAGTCGGGATCTGGTTCCGTTACAACTCCCATAGCCTCTGTTTCCTCGCCTGACAAAACCACACTGTCCGCCCCTTCATCCCACAAACGTAGGAGCCAACTCAGTAGGGGTTCCCCGGGACCTGTTTGAATTGTTTTGACAGCTCATGGAGTTCCGTTTGTGTAAACTCCCTTCTTCAAATTCCACATCTCTGGGGTTGCGGTAATGCACCTCCCCATCTGCCATATCCTCTCTATCATCATCATATATCCTCAAATCATCATCAGAAATATCAAACTCTATCTCCTCATCCTCTCTATCATGTTGCCTCTTCCTATGTTTAGTAATTATTATTATTATACAGGATGGCGTCATGACTTTACAATATATTATTATACAGGATTTATGGCACCAACAGTGTGCTCAGCGCTGTACAATATAACGGGAGACAATACAGCAACAATACAGTTCAATACAAGAGGGTTAGGAGGGCCTAATCCTGGGAGCTTACAATCTAAGAGGTAGGGGCTAGTGGTGCAAAAGGTAGTAACTGTGGGGGATGGACTGGTAGGAAGAGTAGAAGATTCCAGTATTAGCTGAGGGCAGGATAGGCTTCCCTGAAGAGATCGGTTTTCAGAGATCGCCTAAAAGTGAGCAGAGTAGGCGATAGTCTGATAAATTGGGGTACAGAGTTCCAGAGGATGGGGGAGGCTCTGGAGACGAGCATGGGAGGAGGAGACAAGGTAGCTAGAGAGCAGGAGGTCGGATGGTTTGGGTGATATTTGCAGATAAGATTGGTGATGTAATTTGGGGCGGAGTTATAAAAATGCTTTATATGTTATTGTTAATGTTTTGAATTTTATGGCAGGAATGGCAGATGCAGAACGGTTAGTAAGGTGGATGAGTCTGGCAGCAGCATTCATGATGGACTGAAGAGGAGATAGCCTGCGATGAGGTCGGCCAATGAGGAGGGAGTTATAATAGTCAAAGCGAGAGATAACCAGGGAGGGAATAAGTTGCTTAGTGGTTTCCGAGGTTAAGAACGGGCGTATATTGGAGACGTTGCGGAGGTTGGAGGTGTTGCAGAGGTTGGAGGTGTTGCGGAGGTTGGCGATGTTGCGGAGATTGCAGATTTTGCGGAGGTTGGAGGTGTTGTGGAGGTTGGAGGTGTTGCGGAGGTTGGAGATGTTGTGAAGGTTGGTAAAGTTGCGGAGATTGGAGATGTTGCGGAGGTGAGGTCTACAAGATTTAGACAGAGATTGGATTTGGGGGTGAAAGGACAGATTGGAGTCTAGGATTACACCTAGTACCCTGGCATGAGGGGAGGGACTGATGATTATGGTCTTGATCTTGATGGAGAAGTCGGGGGAGGGGGCACGGGCTGGGGGGAATACTAAGAGCTCAGTTTTGGAAAGACTGAGTTGGAGGAAATGGAGTGACATCCATGCCGATATGTCGCTTAGTAGGTTAGTAATGCGAGAGGAGACTGAAGGGGTGAGGTGAGGAGACTGAAGGGGCGAGGTGTGGAGCAGACTGAAGGGGCGAGGTGTGGAGGAGACTGAAGGGGTGAGGTGAGGAGGAGACTGAAGGGGTGAGGTGAGGAGGAGACTGAAGGGGCGAGGTGAGGAGACTGAAGGGGCGAGGTGAGGAGACTGAAGGGGCGAGGTGTGGAGGAGACTGAAGGGGCGAGCTGAGGAGGAGACTGAAGGGGCGAGGTGAGGAGGAGACTGAAGGGGCAAGGTGAGCAGGAGACTGAAAGGGCGAGGTGAAGAGTAGACTGAAGGGGCGAGGTGAGGAGACTGAAGAGGCGAGGTGAGGAGGAGGCTGAAAGGGTGAGGTGTGGAGGAGGCTGAGGGGGCGAGGTGTGGAGGAGGCTGAGGGGGCAAGGTGTGGAGGAGGCTGAAGGGGCGAGGTGAGGAGGAGACTGAAGGGGCGAGGTGAGGACACTGAAGGGGCGAGGTTTGGAGGAGACTGAAGGGGCGAGGTGTGGAGGAGGCTGAAGCGGCGAGGTGAGGAGGAGGGTGAAGGGGCGAGGTGAGGAGACTGAAGGGATGAGGTGTGCAGGAGACTGAAGGGGTGAGGTGTGGAGGAGACTGAAGGGGTGAGGTGAGGGGTAGAAAGATAGATTTGTGTGTCATAAGCATAGAGATGGTACTTAAAGCCATGGGAGTTTATCACGTGACCAAGGGAGGAGGTGTAGATGGAGAAGAGAAGGGGTCCAAGGACTGAACCTTGAGGGACCCCTACAGAAAGAGGGAGTGGAGAGGAGGAGCCAGTTATAGTAATGAGGGGTCTGGCCAAAATTTTATTTCCCGCTACAAAATCATCATCAGAAATATCAACCTCTATCTCGTCATCCTCACTATCATTGGAGGAGAACATGTCCTCACACTCCCAGTGTAGGGATGTGACAATGGCACGTAGCCTGGCTTTACCATCAGGTTGCCCTTCTTTCTTCCTGAAGGCATTCATTAGAGACTTCATCACCCCAAGTCTTATTCCAGGCAGAAGCATACTTTACAAATTCTATAGGAAGAGGCTCCCACTCATTATTTGTGGCCAAGGTCGTGAGCGGGCATGCCACCTCCTGGTCACCAGAAACCTCTGCAGCCTTGTTTTTCCTAAACAGCTTGTGCAGCATTTTTAGTCCGCACGAGTCACAAAACACACCCCAAAACACACCGCAGAACACGCCACAGGACACACCACAGAACACGCCACAAAACACACCACAGAGCACATCCCAGAACACACCACAGAACACACTGCAGAACATGTCACAGAACACACCACAGAACACACCACAGAACATGTCCCAGAAAACAGGTCTGCTTCAGTGGAACTTTCACTTCAATCCCGGAAGAGCGCCCAATTGTTTTGCTCGGTGTCCAGTAAAGGTGACTTTGCGTTGTAAGCGAGATCTAGACCTCCGTAGCGTATCGGCGTGACGTAGACCTCCGTTGCGTATCGGCGTGACGTAGACCTCCGTAGCGTATCGGTGTGACGTAGACTTCCATAGAAAGTATAGATAGCCAATCCCACATGGGTGTGGTTCCTCTCTACCTTACTACTCTGTCCAAATATACAGGTGATACATTCTCCAATCTGACCTCAAGATGGCGCTGTTGTATCATACATGCCACAGGTCATATAAATTAGAAGGTCAAACTATTGGTAACTATGGCTACAGAACAATAGCCAACTGTCAACTGAAATACAAGAATGGTGCCCAAGGCTGAATCTGACGGAAGTAAACTAACTCCATCCCTGAGCTGTACTGCCTGGAGACCATTGGTGGATCCTCGAGCTCTGACAGTAAAGCTGTGTGAGGCCAGAAATCTGCTTCTTGATTGGACACAATACGGATCCTTCCTGGTTCTGGAAATCTGACATCACCAATCTGGTATTGGGCAACACGAGGATTAGATATTTCAAAGACGTGGCCAATGGTGGAAATGGCCAAACACCAAATGACGAGGCTCGGGGAACCCTTCCCCAACCCCCCTCTAATGGTGGAAATGGCCAAACACTAAATGACGAGGCTCAGGGAACCCTTCCCCAACCCCCCTCCAATGGTGGAAATGGCCAAACGCCAAATGACAAGGCTCAGGGAACCCTTCCCCAACCCCCCTCCAATGGTGGAAATGGCCAAACACCAAATGACGAGACTCAGGGAAACCTTCCCCAACCCCCCTCCAATGGTGGAAAAGGCCAAACGCCAAATGACGAGGCTCAGGGAAACCTTCCCCAACCCCCCTCCAATGGTAGAATCCTTTGTCCCAGAGACCAGCAGGACCTTCTGGGGCAGGATAAGAATACGTGAGTATAATATCTCCATTATTTGTACAAAACCGCCCCCCCGACGATGAAAACCAAAGGGGTCAAAATACAAACACTTTGCGGGAGGAGCATGACAAATCCTGGCCAGCAATTTCCTATGATCGTCAGCGCCATCTAGTGGCCATAATGAGGTATTTTCCTGAAATAACACCATCTGCCAAAAAATATTGTGATACAGAATTATGGACACTAGGTGGAGCCAATGATCATAGGAAATCGCAGAATATAATCTGGCAAATATTGGTCCTGGTTGGACGAAGGGGCGCCCCGTCCCAACAACTCGTCTTTTATTTTTCATAATCGACCTCCAAGTCTGTAAACCACAAAATTCACTCAGCCAATGACAGGTAAGGATGCCATTTTTATTTGCTTTAATGTGCTTCTTCCCCACATGAGAGCTGGGATGTCCAGCAACATTCATCTAGAAGACATTTCCCACACTCAAGGCACTAATACACCTCCAGGGTTGTGTGGGAATCCAGAAAGACAGGACTTCGGTGAGGAACATTTCTCTCACTCAGGACAGGAACGTGACTTCTCCCCCTTGTGAGATCTCCGATGTCTGGAAAGATGGGACTTCAGTGAAAAACATTTCCCGCACTCAGGACAGGGAAGTAGCTTCTCCCTCGTGTGAGATCTCTGATGTCTGGAAAGATGGGACTTATCCGAAAAACATTTCCCGCACTCCGGACAGGAAAACGGCTTCTCCCCCTTGTGCAGTCTCTGATGATAATGAAGACAGGACTTATCTGAATAACATTTCCCGCACTCAGGACAGGAAAACGGCTTCTCACCCGTGTGAGACCTCTGATGCACAACAAGTAGTGACTTGCGTACAAAACATTTCCCGCACTCGGGACAGGAATGCGGCTTCTCACCTGTGTGCGATCTCTGATGATGATTAAGGTTATACTTATCTGAAAAACATTTCCCGCACTCAGGACAAGAATGTGGCTTCTCACCCGTGTGATACCTCTGATGTTTGTTAAGATGGGACTTTGATGAAAAACATTTTCCGCACTCAAGGCAGGAAAATGGCTTCACCCCCTTGTGAGATCTCTGATGTATGACAAGATCTGATTTCATTGCAAAACATTTCCCGCACTCAGAACAGGAATACGGCTTCTCACCTGTGTGTAGTTTCTGATGTCTATGAAGACTGGCCTTCAATGAAAAACATTTCCCGCACTCAGGACAGGAAAATGGCTTCTCCTGCGTGTGATACCTCTGATGTGTGACAAGTTTTGATTTTATTGCAAAACATTTCCCGCACTCAGAACAAGAATATGGTTTCTCACCTGTGTGCAATCTCTGATGTCTATAAAGATTGGATTTCCCTGAAAAACATTTCCCGCACTCAGGACAGGAATACGGCTTCTCCCCCGTGTGAGACATTTGATGTGTAACCAGTTGTAATTTTTCTACAAAACATTTCCCACACTCAGAACAGGAATACGGCTTCTCACTCATATGCAGTTTCAGATGTCTATAAAGATTGGACTTCCCCGAAAAACATTTCCCGCACTCAGAACAATAGTATGGATTTTCTTCTGTGTGAGATCTCTGATGTATGGAAAGATGGGACTTGTTAAAAAAACATTTCCCGCACTCAGGGCAGAAATGTGACTTCTCTCCAGTGTGAGATCTCTGATGTAGGGAAAGGTAGGACTTCTTTGAAAAACATTTCCCGCACTCAGGACAAGGATACGGCTTCTCCCCCAAGTGAGATCTTTGATGCTCGATAAGATTGAATTGAAAACGGAAACACTTCCCGCACTCAGGACAGGAGTAGTTCTTCCCTGTTGGAAGGCTGGCCCAGTCCCGCACAGTCTGAGGTTCCTCAGGATATGAGGAATCCGATGGTCCATCTACACTGGGTGGTGCCGAATGGACATTGGAGGGAGCCGAGTTTTCTCCTGGACTATACTGTGTGATGTCCTCATCTTCTACTTTCCAGTCTGGAGACAAAGTGAGACAATCCTCTGAGGTTTTCCTCATCTCCCGGCCATGGACTAAAATACAAAGACAAAGAGGATTACTAGACAGGAGCTGATTGGTTCTCCCAAACCAGGACTCCGCCCACATCAGGCAGCTTGGTCTCTGAGGAGCTTACAATTCCACCCTCAAGGGAACTAGGAAATGTCTCCTCTGATCTCCTACCAGGTCATTTCTTTATTCATGGACCTTAGTCAGAGAGTGAGGAAACAACCAGAACTGTCTTTTATGAAAGGATGGATTTAGTGTTCATGACCCACCTGTGCTGATCTCTGTAGGAGTGTCCTCCTCTATAAATGTCCTCGTTATTCCATCCTCCTCCATAGACTGCTGATTATCCCTCACATACGCCTCTTCTTCTTCTGATTTCACCTCAAATTCTATATCGATTGGATCTCCACTCTACATCAAGAGAAGGAGAGAAAATATAATCTCTAAGATACAAGGTAACATGAAAATCCACACATTGTCTCTACAAGTCCATGTTCTAGATTCTCCGTCCCTCCAACCTTGTAACAGTGAGGGATGGTGTGATCTTCCTGTGTGGCATCCCAGGAATACAGAGGATGGGGACATCTCTCTGGTGGGTTCCTGGTATTAGGTGGCTCCATCATATCCTTGTGTCCTTCTGAAAGTTCCTCCATCACTCCATACTCCTCATCCTCCTCTTTATACTCTTCTTTGACAACAATATTATAGTCCCCGAGCATTCCACTCTGAATATATAAAAAAAAACCCCATTAATTGTAAGAAGCTACTGTGTATATGGATCATAACTACCAATAATTGTCAATCACCTACCTGATCATGTTGTGCATAGTTGTGATCTTCCTGTGTGGAATACTGGGAATACAGAGGACCGGGACATCTCTCTGGTGGGTTCCTGGTATTAGGTGGTTCCATCATATCCTTGTGTCCTGAAAACTCCTCCATCACTCCATACTCCTCATCCTCCTCTTTGTACTCTTCTTTAACCTCAACTTTAGAATCTCTCATCTCATTGCATCTCTCTGGTGGGTTCCCATGACTGGATCCATCTACCTGATGATGGTGAGGGATGGTGTGACCTTCCTGTGTGGAATCCCGGGAATACAGAGGACGGGGACAACTCTCTGGTGGGTTCCCATGACTGGATCCATCTGTAGGAAACACACACACTGACTGAATCCATTGTTTCTATGTGTTTATCAGATGATGGGGGATCTAGGTGGATCCTCCGTACTGCTCTCTCCTTTCCAATAAAGTCTCCTCTTACCCAGTGATGTGAGGGGCGGCTGATTGTCCATCATGACATCCTTGTAGAGGTCCTTGTGTCCTTCTAAATACTCCCACTCCTCCATGGACTGGAATGGCCGGTACGTGTTCTTCAGATGTGTCGCTTTTCCACCAATCACCTTTTTAGTCTTTCCTAATGTAAAAAAACAATTGCTCTATTCTATATATGTGTGTATCATCATCTGCTGGAAATAAAAGACGTCACAGTGACTATGGAGGAAGAGGACGGACGTGACGATGGAGGAAGAGGACGGGCGCGGCGGTGGAGGGAGAGGACGGGCGCGGCGGTGGAGGGAGAGGACGGGCGCGGCGGTGGAGGGAGAGGACGGGCGCGGGCGGTGGAGGGAGAGGACCGACGTGACTGTGGAGGGAGAGGACCGACGTGACGGTAGAGGACGGACGCGACGGTGGAGGGAGAGGACGGACGCGACGGTGGAGGGAGAGGACGGGCGCGGCGGTGGAGGGAGAGGACGGGCGCGGCGGTGGAGGGAGAGGACGGGCGCGGCGGTGGGGAGGGAGAGGACGGGCGCGGCGGTGGAGGGAGAGGACGGGCGAGGCGGTGGAGGGAGAGGACGGGCGAGGCGGTGGAGGGAGAGGACGGGCGCGGCGGTGGAGGGAGAGGACCGACGCGACGGTGGAGGGAGAGGACCGACGTGACTGTGGAGGGAGAGGACGGACGTGACGATGGAGGAAGAGGACGGACGTGACGGTGGAGGAAGAGGACACGGACGTGACGGTGGAGGAAGAGGACGGACGTGACGGTGGAGGAAGAGAATAGAAAATGACGGGGGGGGGGGGGGGGGGTTACTGGTTGTAAATATAAAATAAGATCTTATTACCTCCTCTGCTGCCACTTCCAGCAATGTCTCCTCTCTACTTCCTCCCGACTCACCTCTTTCTGGGAACTTCCTATTTATACCCGACATCACTTCCTGTCTGTAGCTGACATCACTTTTTGTCTTCCATAGAGACTTCCTGTCTGGGTAGAAGTGAGATCCCCACCTTGTGGAGCTCAGAGGAACTGCAGCCTTGAGAACCGTCTGGTAGTGTGACCCTGCCTTGTGCTGTGTGTCCTCATAGAGGGGTCACCTCCACTCCCACCAAGGGGGACAGAAATATATGACAGCTTGGTCCAGCCTTTCTCAGCCAGGGTTCCTCCAAAGGGTTCTAGGGGTTCCTCCAGCAATGAACAATTTCTGTCTCTCAGTAACAACTGAAAATTCATGTTGGGAGGTTTTAGCTAATCTTCAGAACCAAAATGTAGATAAACGTGAGATAGATGGGATCTGCCTCTTTTGGTCCCAGTCTAAACATCAGAGCTCCCCCTAGCTGCAGCCTGGTGATAACATCACTGGGAGGTCCATTCATTGAGCTGCTCCATACTTCCCATCTATAAACATCTCCTGACATTTAGGGGGTCTCTATAAAAAATGTGTATAGAAAATTGCTCATTTATAGTGTTTTGTTTTTTTTTACTGCGAAAGTTGGTAAAGAATGAATGCTATTAGGTTATCTGATGCAGAGGTCGAATGTTATCTATTGATTTATTATGGATAATACCACACGTAGAGCTACCCTCATTGTAATTTAGCCGCTTCTTTCCCAAAAACTTGGATGGGGTGTCGGGTGATTTGGAATACTCCAGATTTGCAGGAGGACACTACACTTTGCTAAGCCTCCATGAACAGTCCCTATGCAGGAACAAGTACGGATGGCAGGACTGATGAAGGTAGAAGGCAGTCACAACTGCCACCGGCTCTTCCACCCAAAGGAAACAGTCCCTAGGGTCCTGAGCCCAGGTCAGTACTCACAATGTCCCAGGCACCTTTATTCACTCTCTCCTGCAACTTTCATGGGCATGCGCAACTGCTCAGGCCAATGATCGCAAGCTGGCCGGCACAGTTGAGCGCTGAGTCCATCGATGTGAACGTCTGACACAATCCACGACTAGGAACTGGATGATCAGCTGGGCACGCGTGAGCCAGTTTCTTGCTTTATACCCTATATATGTTACCTTGAGTGGAGGAGGAGTGAATAAGGTGCGCTGAGCAGAGATCCTTTTCCTAATTATTCACTGGAGTGAAGATCACATCAGCAGATTCACTTGCATGGACTTTATGTTCTCAATTAACACATATATAATTTGATTGGTTTGATGTTTGTATACACACAGTGTGTTTTTAGAGATATTGATAAATAGCACGGGAATTTTTTCTTCTTAAAGAATCACTTCACAATTATTTGTATTTTGTCACTTATTCAAGGTCATGTTTCACCTTTACTTGTGGAATGAGATATTTGTTTGCAATAATCTGTCACTGAGCACTAATGTGTGGGCACGGCTAGTAATATATAATATTTATCTTTATTTAATAGATAGGATTTGACTTATAGTGCTTCACTATTTACAGGTATTTTGTATCATCGCTTATTGGTTTAAGTTAAGGGGCAGCAGCTATAGTTAGGTTTGCGACTTCTGCATTAAGCGCAGGAGGATACTTACTGCCATACATATTCTGACTGCTGATTTGACTTTCCAGCCGAGTTCTAGAGTTCGGGAGGAAATAATCAAACCCTCAGCCTGTGGAACACAGAACAGCCCAAATCAATGAACAGGTGCTCCACCGATTACAGAGGAACCAAAAAGAACTAAATGTGTCTGACGTCTAGTGCCCTCACTAGGGGGTGCTACACATATTAACTGCTGGATCCCGGGTGTCAAACTGGCGGCCCTCAAGCTGTTGCCAAACGACAAGTCCCATGAGGCATTTCAAAGCATGATTCCCAAAGGCAAAGGCTTGATGGGACTTGTAGCTTCGCAACCGCTGGAGCGCCACCAGTTTGACACCCATGGACTAGATGGTGCTAATTCCAATGTTACTTAGCACCATCTAATGGTGAAAAGCAATATTTTCCATTAAATGTGTGGGTGGGTCTACTCGCGGTGCACATGGGGGTACCTTTCCCATGTGCCTGGACCAGGCGGGGAGCGCGTTCATGTGAAAATCAAACATTATGGAAGTTTCCTGGCTTAGAGAAGAGCCGTAACAATGCCTGCAGTAATAAATGTTCCTCGGGGGAGTGTCTTGTTACCGTCATGTATGTTGTAATTTGGTGGGACACCGCTGAGCCCATGTCCTCTTCACCAGTCTAGTGTCCTTCTGCCACCTCGCTCCCAGTGACAGAATGGTGTCCTGCCGTGCACCTAGCATGGACCTCATGTGTGCACTCAACCAACTCCTTCAACTCTCCTGTACCATGCGACCAGGTACATGAGGTCTCCATACCTTGCGCTCGGTCCCAGACGCCTTTGGGGAACCCACCGAAAGAGAGGGAACCAGATCACCAATCCCCTCACTACCGGAGGACCTGTCACCCACGCCAGGCACCATGTCTATGACTGGCTGCTTTGTACTTTTAACTCATTATTGGTTATCCATAGCAACTGCATTCCTCTTCCCGCTGGTCTCACCCAGTAACCTTTAGTAGTGGTATGCTTCACCACCCCATGTGCTTTACTGACCCTGTTCTTCCATACGTCAGGACCTACCATGCACCACCTACATGAGGTCTCCATACCTTGGACTTGGTTTCAGACACCTTTGAGGAACTCACCAATAGGGAAGGAACCAGAACACCAATCCCCTCACTACCGGAGGACCTGTCACCTACACCAGGTACCATGTTTATGACCGGCTGCTTTGTTCTTCACACTAGGTATTGGTTATCCATAGCAACTGCATTCCTCTTCCCGTTGGTCTTGTCCAGTAACCCTTTAGTAGTGGTCTTGCTTCACCCCACCCCATGTGCTTTACTGACCCTGTTCTTCCATATGTCAGGACCCATCATGCACCCCTTTGAATGACTTCAGACCAGGCATAGGACAGTCTGACAACTTTTAATTCTCCATAGAACGAATAACAGATACAGCATTGTCCAATCCCTGTTGTGATGGAACCAACCGGGACGTGGGCATCTGGAGGGGACTGCAGGCTAGCCTACTGACTATGGGCCCTGGCATCTGAGGGGGCTCTCTTCTTTAATGTGTGCCTGGGGGGGGGGGACCTTTGGATCAGTTTGCTCGGGATTCAAGTCCATGTCTCCCCAAAACACAAAGACTCTGAGAACTGGAGGACCAGGATAGATTTGGGGTCTCTGTGCCCAGACCAGCATTGATTGCTTCACCCCCCCCCCCACCCCAGACTCTAAGATGTTGCTATAATCAGCAATCCAACATCATGCTGAGGACTCTCGCTCTAATGTGTTTATTAAGGTGTGATGTGTCTCCTCTCTTCTCCCATTGGGTGCCTCCTAGGTGTGTTGGCAGGTCCTCTTGGTGGCTCCTGCATGATGAGGTTAGACTGGTGTCAGCTTCACCTCATTATCTCATCAGTGTGGGATGTAATATATGTTTTATTGTTCATGTGGGGACTGCCCCTATTTCTGGAGTGTATAAAAACTATTTCTGTTCAATAGACAGTTCCAGTTTGGCATCTAAGCTCGTCTCGTCTAGTTTTGGGTGCAATGCCCAACTCTAATACCTTGGTCCTGTGTCCCAGTGGTGGGGAAGCAGTTCTCTGACGGAATCCCCCAATCTGGGTGACAGGCGTTCCATCACAGCTCTACTAACGGAGGCGGCTGGCCAGGCATACCTTTACAGGTGCTAGTCCAAAGCTGGCGATCCTTACCCCCACTGCTGGAAATGTACCGAACCAGATGCTGACTTCTTGCATATGTTTTGGGACTGTTCTGCAGTGCAGAGTTTTATGGGAAGCAGTTACGAGGTTTGTCTCTGAGTTGACTACAATACTCTTATCGTTGATGGTTGAGATTGGCTTGGTAGGTCAGTTGGCTTTTGGCCTTGCGATCAGAACTCTCCTTGGCCTTCTTTTTTTTGGAAGGAAATCCATAGTGCTGAAGTGGAGGTTGCCAGAGATACCATCACTTGACTTCTGGAAGTTCCTAGTAAATGCCTCCAGCCCCCTATATAAAGCCACCTATGAGTCTCAAGGTTGTCCAGGGACATTCCACAAAGTTTGGCATTTATGGACGGAGTCTGCTACTACAAATGCATCTTTCTAGGCTCCTTAGCCGTAACACTGCATGCAGTAATAAATGTTCCTCGGGGGAGTGTCTTGTTAGCGTCATGTATGTGTTAATTTGGTGGGGCACCGCTGAGCCCATGGCTTGTCCACCAGTCTAGCGTCATTCTGCCACCTCACTCCCAGTGACACCGATATGTTATTGATCAGGTTGGGCTGCTGGTCAAATAGAGTATTTTTGTGGTTCTGGTGCGGTGAGACGGGAGAGTTTTTTGCAGTCTTCCTTTCATTTCCTATGTCTGGGTGACGTGGTAGAGATGATTTAATTGGAATTTCTGGGGGGGGGGGGGGTTCTGTTTCGAGTGGACAGAGCAGAGGTTTCAGGTTTGGGTTACTGTTAGGTTGTTCCAGTTCTTATCTGCATCCTGTGCCGATGAAGTGGCGGCTTTTGGGATTTCTTGGGATTAAGTCCCGGCTCTTGGGATTTCTTGGGAGTAAGTGCCGACTCTTGGGATTAAGTGCAGGTTCCTGGGATTTCTTCAGATTAAGTTCCGGCTCTTGAGATTTCTTGGGAGTAAGTGCCAGTTCTTGGGATTTCTTGAGATTAAGTGCCAGCTCCTGGGATTAAGTGCCAGCTCCTGGGATTAAGTGCCGGCTCTTGGGATTTCTTGGTAGTAAATTCCAGCTCCTGGGATTTCTTGGGATTAAGTTCCGGCTCTTGGGATTTCTTGGTAATAAATTCCAGCTTCTGGGATTTCTTGGGATTAAGTGCCAGGTCTTGGGATTTTTTGGTAGTAAGTTCCGGCTCCTGGGATTTCTTGGGAGTAATGCCTACTCTTGGGATTTCTTGGGAGTAAGATCCGTCAATGGGACACTTTTCCTCCTACCGGCACGGCACCGTCAATGGGGCACTGTTCCTCCTACCGCCACCGTCAATGGGGCACTGTTCCTCCTACCGCCACCATCAATGGGGCACTGTTCCTCCTACCCGCCACCATCAATGGGGCACTATTCCTCCTACCGACACCATCAATTGGGCACTGTTTCTCCTACTGACACCATCAATGGGGCACTATTCCTCCCATTAAAACCAATAGCTGGGCACTGATGTCGGGGCATTTTCCACTCCAACCTTTTGTTTTTCATAATCGACCTCCAAGTCTGTAAACCACAAAATTCACTCAGCCAATGACAGGTAAGGACGCCATTTTTATTTGCTTTAATGTGCTTCTTCCGCACATGAGAGCTGGGATGTCCAGCCACATTCTTCTCGAAGACATTTCCCGCACTCAAGGCACTAATACACCTCCAGGGTTGTGTGAGACCCCTGATGTACAGGAAGACAGGACTTCAGTGAGGAACATTTCCCTCACTCAGGACAGGAACGTGTCTTCTCCCCTGTGTGAGATCTCTGATGCGTGTAAAGATTGGACTTATCTGAAAAACACTTCCCACACTCAGGACAGGAAAATAGCTTCTCCCCCGTGTGCACTCTCTGATGTGCAAGAAGTAGTGACTTGCGAACAAAACATTTTCCGCACTCAGAACAGGAAAACGGCTTTTCCCCCGAGTGACACATCTGGTGCGAGACAAGTTCTGATTTTTGTACAAAACATTTCCCGCACTCAGGACAGGAATGCGGCTTCTCACCTGTGTGCGATCTCTGATGATTATTAAGGTTGGACTTATCTGAAAAACATTTCCCGCACTCAAGACAGGAAAATGGCTTCTCGCCCGTGTGCAATCTCTGATGTTTGGTAAGATGGGACTTCAATGAAAAACATTTCCCGCACTCAAGGCAGGAAAATGGCTTCACCCCCGTGTGGGATCTCTGATGTGTGACAAGATCTGATCTTATTGCAAAACATTTCCCGCACTCAGAACAGGAATACGGCTTCTCACCTGTGTGTAGTTTCTGATGTCTATGAAGACTGGACTTCAATGAAAAACATTTCCCGCACTCAGGACAAGGAAATGGCTTCTCCTTCGTGTGATACCTCTGATGTGTGACAAGTTTTGATTTTATTGCAAAACATTTCCCGCACTCAGAACAGGAATATGGTTTCTCACCTATGTGCAATCTCTGATGTCTATAAAGATTGGACTTCCCTGAAAAACATTTCCCGCACTCAGAACAGGAATATGGTTTCTCCCCTGAGTGCGATAATTGATGCGTAACCAGTTGTAATTTTTGCACAAAACATTTCCCACACTCAGAACAGGAATACGCCTTCTCACTGGTATGCAGTTTCAGATGTCTGTAAAGACTGAACTTCCCCGAAAAACATTTCCCGCACTCAGAACAAGAGTACGGATTTTCTTCTGCATGAGATTTCTGATGTATGGAAAGATGGGATTTTTTCAAAAAACATTTCCCGCAATCAGGGCAGAAATGCGGCTTCTCCCCCCGTGTGAGATCTCTGATGTAGGGAAAGATGGGACTTCTTTAAAAAACATTTCCCGCACTCAGAACAAGGATACGGCTTCTCACCTGTGTGAGATCTTCGATGCTCATGAAGATTGAACTGAAAATGAAAACTCTTCCCGCACTCGGGGCAGGAGAACCTCTTGTCTATTGGATGGATGGCCCGGTCCCCGCACAGTCTGAGGTTCCTCAGGATACGAGGAATACGATGGTCCATCTACACTGGGTGTTGCCGGATGGACATTGGAGGGAGCTGGGTTTTCTCCTGGACTATACTGTGTGATGTCCTCATCTTCTACTTTCCAGTCTGGAGACAAAGTGAGACAATCCTCAGAGGTTTTCCTCATCTCCCGGCCATGGACTAAAATACAAAGACAAGGAGGATTACTACACAGGAGCTGATTGGTTCCCCCAAACCAGGACTCCGCCCACATCAGGCAGCTTGGTCTCTGAGGAGCTTCCAATTCCACCCTCAAGGGAACTAGGAAATGGGTCAGTGACCAATCAGTGAGCAGTATGGGTGGCGGAATGGATTTAGTGTTCATGACCCACCTGTGCTGATCTCTGTAGGAGTGTCCTCCTCTATAAATGTCCCCGTTATTCCATCCTCCTCCATAGACTGCTGATCATCCCTCACATACACCTCTTCTTCTTCTGATTTCACCTCAAATTCTATATCGATTGGATCTCCACTCTACATCAAGAGAAGGAGAGAAAATATCATCTGTAAGATAGAAGATTTATTATTGTGACATCACATAGAGAATCCGCACATCGTCTCCATGAGTCCATGTTCTAGATTCTCCGTCCCACCAACCTTGTAATAGTGAGGGATGGTGTGACCTTCCTGTGTGGAATCCCGGGAATACAGAGGACGGGGACATCTCTCTGGTGGGTTCCCATGATTGGATCCATCTATCTGATGATGGTGAGGGATGGTGTGACCTTCCTGTGTGGAATCCTGGGAATACAGAGGACGGAGACATCTCTCTGGTGGGTTCCTGGTATTAGGTGGCTCCATCATATCCTTGTGTCCTTCTGAAAACTCCTCCATCACTCCATACTCCTCATCCTCCTCTTTATACTCTTCTTTAACATCAATATTATCATCCCCGAGGATTCCACTCTGAATATATAATAAAACATTCATTGTAACAAACGTGCTGTGTATAAATCACAACTACCAGAGATTGTTAATCACCTACCTGATGATGGTGAGGGATGGTGTGACCTTCCTGTGTGGAATCCTGGGAATACAGAGGATGGGGACATCTCTCTGGTGGGTTCCTGTAGCTGGATGACTCCTCCATGGTGTCCTGGTACAGATCTTTTTGTCCAGTTGGAAACTCTGACTCCTCCATCCCCCCATCCTCATCATCCTCCTCCTTTATCTCTTCTTTAACCTCAACTTTAGACTCTCTCAGGTTTCCACTCTGAATATATAATAAAATGACATCAATGGTAACAATGCAGATAATGTACAGATCCTAATGATACTATCAGTGATTGTTCCTCACCTACCTGATAATGATGAGGGATGGTGTGACCTTCCTGTGTGGAATCCCAGGAATACAGAGGATGGGGACATCTCTCTGGTGGGTTCTCATGACTGGATCCATCTACCTGATGATGGTGAGGGATGGTGTGACCTTCCTGTGTGGAATCCCGGGAATACAGAGGACGGGGACATCTCTCTGGTGGGTTCCCATGACTGGATCCATCTGTAGGAAACACACACACTGACTGAATCCATTGTTTCTATGTGTTTATCAGATGATGGGGGATCTAGGTGGAGCCTCCATACTGCTCTCTCCTTTCCAATAAAGTCTCCTCTTACCCGGTGATGTGAGGGGCGGCTGATTGTCCATCATGACGTCCTTGTAGAGGTCCTTGTGTCCTTCTAAATACTCCCACTCCTCCATGGACTGGAATGGCCGGTACGTGTTCTTCAGATGTGTCGATTTTCCAACAATGACCTTTTCCCCTTTTTAGTCTTTCCTAATGTAACATATAACTTCTATTAGGTGCGGGGGTTCATGTAGATACATTCAAAATAGATAGTGCCGCGCTCCCATGTACCAATATGTATATCTTATACTTTCAAAGTGCTAATGAATAGCTTTCAAGATACTGCATGTATCAAACAATTATTACTAGTGACTCAAAACATCATTGTGAATATTAATCTTCATGCAAGTGACATTAATAACTGATAATCCTAAGGTGATAGTGCCTATTAAAGTACAGTGATATACAAATCAGAAATACTCCTCTATTCTACTGTGATCCTTATATTTATATTGTGCAAACACATATATATTATGTGCACGTGCTTATGATATATTCAATAATAAAAAAAAAAAAAAAAAAAAAAAAAAAAAAAAAAAAAGTCTTTCAAAATAAATGTGCAGGTGGATTCTTGGTTCCCTCTCGCCGAGTGCTTAATGGTCTCCCTATGTGCTCACCTCTATATTTGCCTGAATAAATCCAGGCAAATACACTTTTTATCCTTCCAGGATAGATGGGATGGAATGATGCTCTTGAATTATCTCAGAAGGTGGATGTGGATTAATATTTGTTCTCCTGTAGCTGCTCATGAGTGGGTATACTGACCATCTCTCTGAGGATCTCCCAATTCCCCTCCTGGGGCTGTTTCCTTTTCCAGTCCTCCTTATATCAGCTCAAAGGGTGTTGTTCAATTGAGAAAGGAAGACAAACAGACCATAGTGTCTTATCCTTGTGCAAAAAGGGGGTTTATTGCTGCCAGTTGCACAGTAGTATACAATTGTAGTCCAGCATAAATGTGCTCTGCCTCTGTTCCTGCAGTGCTGTCTACCTGTGTCTGTATTCAGATCACCGAGCCTCTCCAGTGCAATGTCGTGACGTCAGAGCCCCTCCCCTACGCGTATCGTCACAGGGTCACGTGACTTCATCAGGGGGAATGATTAGAAGTCACGTGACCCTGTGACGATACGCGTAGGGGAGGGGCTCTGACGTCACGACATTGCACTGGAGAGGCTCGGTGATCTGAATACAGACACAGGTAGACAGCACTGCAGGAACAGAGGCAGAGCACATTTATGCTGGACTACAATTGTATACTACTGTGCAACTGGCAGCAATAAACCCCCTTTTTGCACAAGGATAAGACACTATGGTCTGTTTGTCTTCCTTTCTCAATTGAACAACACCCTTTGAGCTGATATAAGGAGGACTGGAAAAGGAAACAGCCCCAGGAGGGGAATTGGGAGATCCTCAGAGAGATGGTCAGTATACCCACTCATGAGCAGCTACAGGAGAACAAATATTAATCCACATCCACCTTCTGAGATAATTCAAGAGCATCATTCCATCCCATCTATCCTGGAAGGATAAAAAGTGTATTTGCCTGGATTTATTCAGGCAAATATAGAGGTGAGCACATAGGGAGACCATTAAGCACTCGGCGAGAGGGAACCAAGAATCCACCTGCACATTTATTTTGAAAGACTTTTTTTTTTTTTTTTTTTTTTTTTTTTTTTTTTATTATTGAATATATCATAAGCACGTGCACATAATATATATGTGTTTGCACAATATAAATATAAGGATCACAGTAGAATAGAGGAGTATTTCTGATTTGTATATCACTGTACTTTAATAGGCACTATCACCTTAGGATTATCAGTTATTAATGTCACTTGCATGAAGATTAATATTCACAATGATGTTTTGAGTCACTAGTAATAATTGTTTGATACATGCAGTATCTTGAAAGCTATTCATTAGCACTTTGAAAGTATAAGATATACATATTGGTACATGGGAGCGCGGCACTATCTATTTTGAAAATATTATATATACACTAGCATATGAGTCAGTGCAAGTGCCAGCGAACCTCACGTGAGAAATAAGGACATCTAAAGTCACATATTGAACACCTCATTTCATAATAGCTCACAAGCATTCACCATTTATATTCATGTAGATACATTTGTCTTCATTATACGAACTTTGAATAAGATAAACAAAAATATTCATCTATCACGGTGGAGGAAGAGGACGGACGCGACGGTGGAGGAAGAGGACGGACGCGACGGTGGAGGAAGAGGACGGACGCGACGGTGGAGGAAGAGGACGGACGCGACGGTGGAGAAAGAGGACAGACGCGATGGTGGAGTAAGAGGATGGGTGTGACGGTGGAGGAAGAGGATAAATATGCCGGTGGAGGACGGGGGGGGGGTTACTGGGTGTAAATAGAAAATAAGACCTTATTACCTCCTCTGCTGCCACTTCCAGCAATGTCTCCTCTCTACTTCCCCTGACTCACTTCCTATTTATACCTGACATCACTTCCTGTCTGTAGCTGACATCACTTCCTGTCTTCCATAGAGACTTCCTGTCTGGGTAGAAGTGAGATCCCCACCTTGTGGAGCTCAGAGGAACTGCAGCCCCGAGAACCATCTATTAGTGTGACCCCGGCCTTGTGCTGGGTGTGTATGGACTGTGTGCCTTCATAGAAGGGTCACCTCCACTCTCACCAAGGGGGACAGAAATATATGACTGCCTAGTCCAGCCTTTCTCAGCCAGGGGTCTTCCAAAGGGTTCTTGGGGTTGCTTGAGATTAGATCAGTTCCTGTCTCTCAGCGGAAGGGGTGGGTGGAACCAAGATTCCAGGGCGAAAGAGCAGGGGCAAACATCTTGTGCCTTGAGATTGTGCTCCTTGTAAAATGGTTTGCTTTGATATGCC